ATGGTGATGTTATTAGTGCTGAACGCTCCAAAAAATTGAATATATAAAAAATTTACCTGTCGTAAGCAGTATTGGTTCTATAGGTGAGTAACAGGCCGACAACGATACCAAGTACAGGAGTAAAAGTATTTGGAATACTCATTTTTATATTGGTCTTCATGTAAAGTGCAGTTACGGCGGCAGATACAGCTGTGACCATTAGGGTTGGAAATAAAGCACTTTTGACAACGGAACCTCTGAACCTAATAACGTGCGGACGATGATTTTTGTAGGGATTATAAATTTTTGGTCGATTCACTCGACTCATATCATGTTTTCTCATCTTGACAGATTTGTTTTTATAAAAAGTGAGTGGGACGGTTTTGAAAAAGTCATTTCCCAAGAGATGCAAGCTATAAATACAAGGGTGAACGTATGAATTCGTACGTGTGTACACGCATAGTGGTAATAGCATGTTATTGTATAATAAGTAATGTGTACTGTACGTACAAAGTTTGAGATAATGGAATGTGTGTTTCACATAAGTTATCTATTCGTTCCAAAAAATTCTATAAACAGCAAGGCACAATAAGCAAATTAACAAAGATATCAAGCCTTCCTTTGTCGATTACGTAATCGCAGTTTGAATTGAATTTTTTTTTTTTAATTATCGTAACGTAATTAATTTTATTTACATTAATCTACCACGTATCCTAACCAAGCTAATGCCGTAGGGATACAGTACTGTAATTGAATTGCATCCATAGTAGTAAGATAAACGATGCCTTCGTCGACAAACGACATACAGTATCAGCAGAGCTAGTTTCTTTTTCCTTACCTCTGTCACAAACAATTCCTCTTTATTGAACAAAAGTGTACATGAAGAATCACTCGCTATCATAGAGGGACGACCAGTACGTAAATCAGTTCAAATTACAAATCCCGTCACCGGGTATAAAGTACATGATACTGTAATATAATTTAATTTTAATTAAAAATAATAATATAATTAAAAATAATAATTTTTTTTTTCGCATAATTAGATATAAATAAATAAATAAATTTTAATTTTATTAAAATCAAGAAAAATAATGAACCCATAAAAAATAAAAAAACAATAATATTATTTTGTCAAATACAGTAATTGTCGTATTTCACAATTTTCTTAATTACAATACGTATCCAATACGGTATACAGCACGTGCACATACATATAAAAAGAGGCTCGTTTATTTACAGTATTTATTAATTTTTTTAAAAAATGAGAGTAAATATTATTTCAAATCCAAAATTCAAAAATTCGTGGATGCAAATGTTGAGACGAAAAACTTGTCGCAGTAAAACAAATCTTAACATAAGCTATAATAATATTTCGATAATGTATTGAAGTGAGATAGATAAAATCAAATGCTTTTATAAAATAAAGACTTTAATTTTTTAAAAAATAAAATTTATGAATAAATACGTATCGATCATTAATTTATTAAATATATTGTATATATTTTACAATTTATATCCTTAAAAATTTTTCTAACGACTTAATTTACCGCATATTTGATAATCAAATATTTAAATCCTTTTAACCATATGCTTACATAATTAAGCTAAAAAAAAGTTCTTGAAAATTCTTCTTAATTCGTATATGCAAAGGTATTTACAGTACCAAAGTCCGGAGTGACACATCCGAGTACTGTACTGTATGCACGTATGGCGGTTCTCAGGGCAGGTTGTGCGTAACAACCAACATCCCATTATTTTAGCGCTAAAATTGGACATTGATTACTATTTTAAATCTATTACAGTACTCCAATTACAGTAATTCTGAAAGTTTCGATCATTCGATTAGTTAAAAACGAAGTTGCTTCACATGACGTGTATATACATTATCTTGCTTGTACAATGCTTGTGTATAATAATTTCAGAATATGGAATGTATGAATAGTAAGGTGTAAGGGTGCTTGCAGCATCCCTCTAATATAGTAGTCTGAGGTTCCCACATCTATTTACATATCCCTTATATTTCTTTGATGACGTACAGTGGCGGATCTCGTCTTACCAACAGATTTTTTAAGAATGTTGTGCAGAGTGTGATTACCATAAATCTTTAGTATTACCAATAAAGAAATTAGATCTTATGATAAAATAATTGTCTATCTCTATTAAAAAATGGAAATGTACCGTTTTCTTTTTTCACATAAGACCCGGACTAAAATTAATTAGAAACTTAATTAGTCGACACCCGATGTGATGTTCTAGAGGTGAGTGACTTTGAAATTACATTAATATTTTTAATTACTTTATATAAGATTCCGCGTATAGTACTTATCTCTAAAAGTAATTTTCCTATTATGTCCTATTCCCGAATGTTATTATATGTTTTCCTCTTAAATTATTCGGATATGTTTAATGATCACTTCAGTGTTTTCGAATAATAGGCTCGAAAAGTACATTTAAAAAGCTGCCGGATGGATTATCAAGTGCTCTCGTCAGCCGAAAATTTGTACCTCATTGTGTGAAAACCCAATTGTTTTTCTAGATCAATAAGATAACCTGGATATTAATAGACAAGAACGAAAAACTGTTATTGAAATCAATTGATCGTTATGACTCATTGAGGATATCGCAATGTTTAATGCCGAGAAACAGACAATATTCAGCATTTCATGTTATTATCAATTAATGAGATCACAAAAAATTTTTTACATTTTCTTCGTGAATCCATTATTTTTACCGGAGAGTCAGTCGTTAGCTCAGACTACTCTTCGCGTGACGATAATCCGTCCTTCTAGGCGTGTCTTAAGATCACAAGTGTCTCTTCACGGAGCATGAGTAACACTTAAATTCTTTATTATTGCGGTATAGTCGCAAACGTTTTTTAGTTTTGTAATTATTACGCAAAGAGAAATGGCATTTATTTAATAAGTGGGATATGCTGTTGACGTGTTATTCGCTACCGACAATGAGTGACGCGTCACAATGTCGCGCACCACCCCTGTCATACCCACAACACCACATACCAGACGTAGGCAAATAAATATTAATGACCAAGGTATTCAAGTCACACCGTTTGGTCATGATGCGATATTTGATTGAAATAAAGGCCCTCTTTTTTTTAATATCCTTAAATCTTGATTATCTGTTATCTCTAAGATTACAAAAATCTTGATGATAGAAGAAATGTTACGTATTTCTGTTATCTCATACAACGACGATGGAATGTATAAAAAGACTTCATGCTTTTCATAAGTCTATCATCAATTGATATACCAAACTGTAAGAGGACGGACAGGACGCGATGATAGTCACATGATTGACAGATGTGCGGGTAACACGAACGACACTCCAGTATTCAATTATCCCTCCTTGCAATAATAGATAAGAGAGAGTGAAAAATATAATTGAAACAGGATTTTTTTCATAGACTTTAATAATGACATTTATTTTTATTATTTTCCTTTTGCTTCTAAATCTTTGGTGTTTCAAATGATGCGTGTAAAAAAAATGTATATAAACCCTAACAAAACACTAAATAAAGATACGAAATCAAGTCAAAACAAAAGTCTACCGAATATTACACGCTTTACTTCTTATCTGATTCAACTTTAATCACGGTTACGCGAAACAGTGACAGTGGGTATAATAGAGATGTACGCGTGACATTGTGACACGACACGAGATAATAATGGTAAGGATGATGTAATGATTAGGTCATAGCAATCAGATGGAGTGACGCGTTCGTGGCATATAAATAAGCCGTTTCCCATAGCTTTAGGAAATCTTCCCTTTTGAAAACTTCCCACTTATTAAAATAATTGTTATTTAGCTTTGTACCAAAAACCTTCGACATAATATAAAGCTTACCAACGTTACCTTTGCCCCGTGAAGATAGTCACTTGGAATCTTGAGACGTGTTCAGAGAGGTGCAGAGAGTCGGCTGGGTAGTAACGCGTCTCAGAGTCAAAGTCTTACCTTACTTAGTGTTATAATTCAAGCATTTGGATTATCGTCACGCGAAGAATAGTCTGTCGATTGACCAAGTGAGAAACTATGTATGGGTGCAAAAGTGCATGTGTCTAAGTGGTAAGGGTCTTACCAAAAGAAACCTAAAGGAAAAGGTTTAAGTGCGAACCTGGGGGTAGTTTTGTCTTTAGGATTGAGAAATGAGATTTGTATCAAATCAAATTATTTCCTCTAGCCTTACCTAAAACCCTCACATACCACATACTGTATATTCCTCCTTTCTCATTTCAATAATTTTTTTCATTTTTTCATTATACTTATTTACACTTGAAATTCAACGACAAAAATATAATACAAACACACTTTGTAAACAATAAAATACAATATATAGTAGTGTAATTTACATGATAACAAAGATATTTTTCAGTTCTATCATCTGCTCATCATTCCTTTCAATTCTTCAATTAAGATCTTAATCTCATCCTTTGATTCCTGAATCGATGCTTTCATTTCTTTCAGGAAGTCATTGCTCAGCTTTAACTCTTCGGATTCCACAGCGCTTACTTGGATCGCATTCAATACAGCTCGAGAAATAAAAGGTTTGTCGAGATCTTGCCAATTTTCGGTCTGAATTTTTCTTACTACTTCACGAAGTTTGTTCACGTGAGCCTCGAAATAGCTTAGATATTAGAAATGAAAGGGAAGGTAAAATTTAATGAACGAATGATCTAATAAAAAACAATTTCTTAACCCACATTATTTCTGGAAACCAATTCTTTTTTCTTCTTTGATATGGTAGCATGTAAAACAGTTCAATTTCAGTTAGGACCTGCGTACATTATAGTATGAATTGTAAGTTTTTACGCTTGTTGGGATAAATCAATAGGATAAAAAAAAAAAACATTCACATCAGCTTTTAAGGCCAGAAATGATTCCTTATTGCTAGTGTGATTAATTGCATTGCTGAGTAAACCGATGAATAGATTCATCAAATAAATGGAGGTAAAGAAAGAGAATAAGACCAATAGTATAACCATGGTTAAATTTTCTTTCATGGTCTGTAATGAAATCAAGTCTGTTCCTTCTGTTTGTACAAGAAAAGAATGTCGGGTTAGTACAGAGTCTGTCAGTCTGACATACTGTATGTATGAAATTAAAAAGGTGATGACCTGTTATCATGAGGTAAGTAGCCAAAATAGAACTGTGAAACTTGGAAAACATATCTGCGCTTGTACCAAGAGATTCACTGGATGTGTCATCTGAATTGTTTGGCCTTAATGAGAGGTAGAGAGAGTTCGCGAATGCAAAAATGATGAACCCCAAAATGAATAGAAAAGAGAATGCACTGCGGGCAACTCCAACTATCATCGCAAAGTAAACTCCAAAATATTCTATCGCGCGAAAGTAAGATAAAAATTTCAACTCAAGCAGTAAAGTTGAAATGGTAGCTCCCCAGATCGGAATGGATTCATCCTGAAGCCATATATGTGAAGTCAACATTGGGAATATGATCGCGCCCAAGTCTGGTGAGGAATAGAGACAAGTTATTTACCAAGTACCTCATTATCTAGTGTAATTTAGGCACATACCCAAGTAATTCCAAAGGCTTGACATATAAGAGAGTGGAGAGAAGATAAATTGACGAAGTTCAAAAATTAAGTGATAAATTCCAAGCCCAATCACACTCTTCAATAAAAATTGCAGGGAGCGCCATGAAATTTGATCGGACAAGATTGCCGTGATCACAAAATCGCAAAGATACACAGTGTAGATAGCCCACGTAATCAGGTAATACGTCCTTCCGTAGGTATTCCATTTAAAATTAAGGAGAGCTTCGCCAATCCACAACTTATATAAATCAATGTTCGTCGATTTTGCAAAGGAACTGGTAGCCGGATAAATAAAGTCAACCAAGGGGTTATAAGGACAAGGGTAGGTAACAAATTTAGGTAGGGGAATAATTAGTTGGATGGTTGGATTAGGTTCTTGTTTATATATGTTAACGAGAGGCAACATAACCTTATTTTTAATGAAGCTATGAAATTGAAGATGAGTTTTGATACAATTTTTATAACGACCTAAAATCCAAGAGAGAATAATATCAAATAACGTGGTTTTTGAAATCCGAGCGTAAAATCCATAATGATGGAGATGTGGTAAAGTTGAGTGACTCTTGATCAAAAATTCTCTGATGTTGAAGGGCACAATGAAGGCAATTTGAGATAAAAAATTTGAAACATATGCCGCGTAGTTTCGAGATATTTCGGGAAAAGTAATGGTGATAATACTTAGTAATTCTAAATTTGTCGTATAACCTTCGTCGTTTTTAATGCTTAATTCGATACATGTTCGAAATAGGTCTTCAATCAATCCATCTCGTTTAAACTTTATCAAATTCTCTATCCACTGTAGTCCATAGTGTGCAAGAAACATTTTTTCGTGTCTATAGTCTTCTATTAACTCCCGAAAATTGCTTGGTGCGAAGTAGTTTATACTGCCATGTTCCTCCATTTTCTCACTCATGCACAGATCAAAACGAATTGCAGGGAGAAATTTTTTCGAATCACGGTTGCAACTAAGCAAAAATTCATTTAGCATGTTGATTATATTATGATACTCGAAATTCCTGCGCTTCATTTCATTGTCCCAAAAATAATGCAGTCTAATTCCAAAGTTTGATTTGACCGTCCATACATAAATTCCGCACATTGTTGCCATAGCCAAGTTCTCGTTCTCGAGTAGGGCGCAGCTCATGATCAATTTGTCCTTAAATTTTCTCAGTTCTCCAAACAGTAAAAAGATACTTTTCTCCATTTTCTTCCATTCCTTTGTCTTGACATCCAATTCATGTGCTACCAAGGAAATATCATTTTCTTTTATTACGACGTCCCATTTCAATAAAGTCCCATGAAACGAAGTTCTTTGGATCGGAAGAACAACTTGCTTGCCATTTTTATGCAAGCCAACGGCTTCGTCAATCATTTTTTTAATTCGCACAGCTCCGTATGGAGAACCGATGCTACCATAATCTTTCAGATTATTTCTTAAATAGTCAACCCAATTCTCTCGTATCAGTGGTTGAACGTATAGGTTTCCTTCAAACCAGCCGACGATTCTGTCAGATTGTATTACGTATGGTCGCGTCACCCTGGAAACCACTGCATCTTTTGTCCTTTCAAAGAGTTTCGTAGCATCCACTGGATTTGTAAGAGAATAAGGGTCGATTATTTCACATTTGTCTTCCAGTGGCCATACCATGATTATTCGTTCTCCCACACCGGTTCCAATGAAATATACTTCGTACTCATGAGGATATTCTCCTAATAATAAAAAAATTTTATCATCCCATATTGATCAACTTTTACGTCAAAAATATTCTACCTACTTTGTGCCAGCATTATTCCAAGTTCCATTGAATAAACAAGTAACTTATACGAGGTTTTATCATATGATTTGTACACCAATCCAAAAAGCACCAACAATGTAGAATCTCTATTCATCGCAATATTTGGTCGAAATCGAAATTTGTTTAGCATGTATTGCTGTTCAAAGTCCAAATTTTTTAAATTCCATTGAGACAAAATCGTGGTTCCCGCAGCCATCGATAATAATTTTCCATTGGAAAATATGTAACTCTGAGTGTAGTATCCCAACTCAATCATCTTTTTGCAATTCCATTTGTCGCTATCCTTTATGCAACTAGAAAATATGTAAACCCTGTATACTGGGTCCCCTTTAATAGCCACGAAGTCGTCGTTTTCAAGGAAATTCCAGGTGTCTGCCTTCCCGTCAAGATTTGGCGCTTTTGGTTTATTTACCTTTCTCGTGTTCAGATTAAAAAGAACTAAACATTTATAAAGTTATGATATATTTAAACGAATAAACTCATTAGATGTGTCATGATAAGTCCACTGTGCCTACCAAAGTTATTTTGATGGCCTCCCTTTAATGTCAACACAATGTGTTTTCCATCGGATATATTTGTCAAACAGGGATCCGGATACAGATTGTCATCTTCAAATGAAAATTTTTCGATCTCTCTCAAGTCTTGTTGACCTTCAATAATTTCCCACAATCTCAAATCCTTATGCTCCCATGTAGCAGCGTAACACATTTTTGGGGAAAGAACGATGTGAATTCCGTCTAATTGTTCATCCTCAATTTCAATTCTGATGTCAATTTTTTCATCCAAACCTAGGTCCTGCGATTGTAAGTCATATGTTAGGATGTCATCTTCCTCCTCTTCCATTTCCAAACGCTGTCGTTATTTAAAGTTTTCAAAAAAAGAAAAAAAAAAAAGAATGCAAGTTGCGGTTCAGTTTATATTTATTGGTAATATTTATGTTGTAAGCCATGGCAAATTTGCCTCGCAGCTGTGGCTAGGCTGCTAAATTTGGAACTACAGTAATGAACTTTTGTCTGCTTTGATTAAATCATGTGCAAGAGTAAATTCCTTACAACATATATTTTTGTAGTTATTTTTATGTTTTGACTCTTGTTACGGTATAAGGAATTGCATTATTGATTCCATACCGTCATGCATACATTATCATGACGTTTCTTATTACTGTATACTTAAAGTATATCACCGAAACATTAAAGAAGAGGATTTATTGACCAAGTATCTGTTGGCTTGATCCGTTATATTTTACAAGGTATGACAATTCAATACCCCGTTATCTTTTACCATTTATCTCAAGTATTTCTTTAACATTATGATTTACTCTCTTATCTTGCATAAGACTTTGTCTTTTAATATTGCCTATAAATAGGTAAATTTATTGTTTTTTGAAAATAATTCTAAAAACTTTCATAATAATTTACGGTAATTAGGTGAGTTTCATTGAGATTAGATATTGGGATAGTCCGGTGACCATAATGACCTGACCATAATGACCTGACCATAATGACCTGACTATAATGACCTGACCATAATGACCTGACCTTAACAACCAATCGGGATTGTTGCATAGAAATACGGTATAAGTACAATATCTCACACATTCCGTTCAGAAAACATGGAGCAAACTGGGTATGACAATGCATCCGAAACATTTCAGCGTCTTCTAAAATCTGCCAAAGGTGGAAGCGTAGACGACCAATATAATCTTGGAAAATGTTATGAATATGGATCTGGAACTGAAAAAAACGAAGAAAAGGCATTCCACTGGTATTTGGAATCAGCCAAAGGTGGAAATACCAATGGACAATATTTCCTAGGACGTTGCTATGAAACAGGAATAGGAATTGAAAGAGATGAAAACAAAGCATTTCAATGGTATTTGAAATCAGCTGAAGGTGGAAATAGTGATGCTCAACTTTACCTAGGATTTTGTTACCAGGTTGGAATAGGAGTTGATAAAGATAAAAACAAAGAATTTCAGTGGTATTTAAAATCAGCCGAAGGTGGAAATAGTGTAGCGCAATTTAATATAGGATGTTGTTACGAATATGGAAAAGGAGTTGAAAAAAATGAAAACAAAGCATTTCAGTGGTATTTAAAATCAGCTGAAGGTGGAAATAATGAATCACAATATTACCTAGGGTATTGCTACATATCTGGAATGGGCGTTGAAAGAGACGAAAAAAATTCATTTCGGTGGTATTTAAAATCAGCTGAAGGTGGCAATAGTGCTGCGCAATATATCCTAGGACACTCTTACCATTTTGGAATTGGAGTTGACGAAGATGAAAATAAAGCATTTCAGTGGTATTTGAAATCAGCCGAGAATGGAGATATTAATGGGCAGATCAATCTTGGATTTTGCTATCGATATGGAATAGGAACTAAAATAGACCCAGAGAAGGCCTTCGAATGGTTCTCGAAATCCGCTGAAGAGGGAAATGCCACTGGACAGTATAATCTTGGAGGTTGCTATGATAAAGGAGTCGGAACTAAGAAAGATTCAAAGAAAGCATTTGAGTGGTACTTGAAGTCTGCCGAAAATGGAAGCGCCGATGGGCAACACATTATCGGGACTTGTTATAAATATGGATTTGAAACCACAAAGGACGAGAAGAAAGCATTTGAGTGGTATTTGAAATCTTCCGAAAATGGAAATAATCTTGGACATTTTAGCGTCGGATATTGCTATCATAATGGGGTCGGTGTTGCAAAAGACGAAAAAGTGGCAATGCAATGGTATCTGAAGGCTGCTGAGACTACTGGAAAATGGATTCCGTATTCTCAACTTCAAGACATTACATATTTGAATAAAGGAGGTTTTGGTACAGTACTCAAGGCGACATGGATTCAGAAATCTGGAGAAAGTGTGACCGTAGCCCTTAAAAGTCTTGAAGATTCCAAGAATATGACTTTTGATTTTATAATCGAAGTAAGTCGTTCATTTTACTCACAAATACATATAGATTCTTCAATTACAGTGACTAGTTGATCCCAAATACTATATTGTACTGTACACTATAGCTACTGCATACAAACTTGGATGAAACCACTAAAAATTTTCTTATTCAATGTTATGGCATCACAAAAGATCCAAAAACCAGTATTTATATTATGGTAATGGAATACGCAAAGCATGGGAGCCTTTGTGAGTATCTAACAAATAATTTCGAAAAGATTACGTGGAAAGAAAAACTAGAGAAAATACATTATATTGCAACAGGGTGAGAAAATTTGAATGCAAGCCTGATATTATATATCATAATTTGCTGTACTTTATTAATTTCACATGTTCTGTATAGATTTGACCGAATGCACAGAACTGGGTTGGTTCATTGTGACATTCATTCTGGGAATGTTTTAATTGGAGAAAATGGGATTCGCATTGCAGACTTGGGCTTGTGCCAAACTTCTCAGGTTTTTTCATATGAAAAAATGACTGGTGTTATATCTTATATGGCGCCCGAGATTTTTAGAAAATTTCCGTTTACCCAGTTATCCGATGTTTACAGTTTTGGAATGGTGATGTGGGAATTCACATCAGGCCATAGACCATTTAAGGATAGGGTAAACGATCAATTTCTTGCAAACGATATTGCTAATAATAATTTGAGACCTAAAATTACGAAAGACACACCAACGGCTTTTGAAAATTTATTGAAAAAATGCTGGGATTCTAACCCATTTGATAGACCGTGTATGTCGGTTATCAAGCAACAATTTGACAAATGGATTTACGATAAGGAAGATGAAAAGGATTTCTATATCGCTGAAGAGTGTAGAAAAGACTTGATAGAAAAAGGAAAATTACAACAAGATGATGATGATCCGACACGTCCTGAAACGGATATTGGAACCATTGATATAAATTTAGACTCTTTAATAGATGAATTTAGGAAATGAAAAAAAATTGAGCGTCAACGATTAATCCGTGGCACAGGTGGCACATGTTCTTTATTTTACACACATACTGTATAATGTATACGTATAGGTTACATGAATAAAAATTATACGGTACAGTATTATTGTCCGAAGCAAAGCGTAGGACCATATACTTCTACGTCAAATGGATGCAATGTCTGTTTGTCTGCCCCGCCTGATCGATGAATGATATTTTTACACGTGATTTATATTACGGTTATTTAATTACTGTAGTCGGAAATCAAACAAATAAATATATACTGTAAATCAAGGGTGTTACTATTTCGATGGGAAAATTAGTTAGATACCTTTTTCTCCAAAAATTTATCCAATAATTATTACAGTACTGAAATTTCACTCAACAATGCAAATGTGACTGTATGTATGCTGTACGGAAAACATCTTAATTTATTAATAAAATCTATTATATAAATAACAACTCCTGTAATGCTTCGGACTAAAACGGTTTCCGTTCCCTAGTTATATTAAAACTTAATCCGTCATTCAATGACGGGTATATTATCTATTAAATTTTTTAAAAACTATTAATCCAAACGTCAAGTTGTAGCAAATTTGCTAAATGCGAGAATATAGCTTTTTTTATAAATATGATTATTTCTAAAAAAAAAAAAAACCACATACAGTATCGTATGAGGTGATACATTCGGATGAATTCTACGTATATAATGTATATACTGTATGTGCATGTTTTGCATTCCACTTTTATCATGACTGCCGCCCTTCAAACTTCTAGAAAAATATTTGAAGAAATTCAATCCCTTTCCGAAAAAGCAAATTATAACGACGAAGTAATCAGGTCACTTGCAGTACACATTAAGACAGCCGGCTTATGGCTGATGGATCTGAATCCGCCAGAGGAGAAATGTCATCTGGCGTATAAAAATTATATTGATATTCTTACCCAGATTAGAGATTATATATATGAATTAAGCGAATATGGAAGCTTCAGCAAACGGTATCTCGAAAAGACCAAAGATGTAGGTGTGAAATATCAATCATATTGAAATTCAAGGCTATTCACTTATGCTATTTCTTTTAATCTATTGTTTTTCTAATTCAGTTCGAAAGATTATATGAAACTTGTATTACAAAACACGACGAAGTAATTCGGGAATTTAAACTCTCGCTTAACATAGCTTACGACATTCCTGCTAGTCAATACCTCGTGGAACAGATGCGCACGTACGCCAACATAGCACTGAGGAAAAAAGGCATAGAGATCCCCAGAAGCGAACTTGAGAAAATACAGCTGAGTTCAGAGTGGATTTGTGATGAAGAAGATGATGAGCCAGTGGTTAGGGGAAAAGAGAAACAGATAAAACGTCAGCTGTATGGCACTCAGGAAGTGGCGGTCAAAAAGATAGAGAATGAAAATAGGGACTTGGTCAATAGATATGCCTTTTTCATGTCGAAGTTATCACACTGCAATAACATTGAAAAATTGTAAGACTTTATCTTTCACCAAAGATCATCTCCACAACTGGTTAATGTATTTTATCTTGTAGCTATGGAATCCTTCGCATTAATCACGATCTTTATGTCGTGACAGAATGGGCCGAAGAAGGTAATCTCGAAGACGTTCTCCAAAGCGACCGAGAACTTTCGTGGTTACGTAGGCTTAAGATTTCAGAACAAATCGCTAATGCTTTAGAATTTATTCATCGTGCTGAGATTTATCATCACAATGTGAAGAGGTATAACAATAAATTTAAAGGATTAATATATTTACTTTTTAAAAAAATTTTTTTTGTTCGTAAAATTCGACTTAAAGAATTTTTCTTAAACGTAATTATAGTCGAAACGTATTATTAGATGAGCATTTGAACGCAAAACTAACGGGATTTGATTCCAGTCGGTTTAACGTACAATCAACAACAAGCAATGATGAAAGTATCTCAAGCCTGCGGTAGGTGTTTGAAGCCATATTCATTAAATCCTTATTAAGTAAAAAAAATACGTTAAATATTTTCTAAAAGGATCAGTTCTTCATTTTCTATCCAAAATAACTTATTATAATCAACTTTTTTTTTCGCCTGTTATTGTTTTTTTACCTAGATGGACAGCCCCAGAGAAGCTTAAAAAAGGATCTAACTTTGTTCCATACAGCAAAAAATGTGATATCTACAGGTTTACCACTCTAAACAATAGATTTGTGGTTTTTTAAACTTTGTCATCATTAATAATCCAACTTTCTTATATAATGACATTAATATTCTAATACATTGTGCAGCTTCTCGATCGTTTTATGGGAAATCGGAAGGCGTGAAAAGCCGTTTAAAGATATCGATGACGATCTGGATGTCGCCAACCGTATAATGAGAGGCGAACGCCCGCCGATCCCTATGGACGCACCTTCCGAATACATTGAATTGATGAAACAAGGGTGGTCAGATAATTCTAGTAGCCGCCCGATCATTCAAACGATGAGAGAAAAACTTCATAAATTAGTAAGGCAATATCAAAATCGCGGTAATGCAACTTCATTACCGCATTCATCACCGTCTATCATTGACACACCAATAATCACAAATACTGGGAGCCAAAACCACTCGCCCATTCCACCGCTCAATGATGCAATTAAGCTGCATTCTCAGAAGAATTACGCCGAAGCCTTTTCATTATTTCAGCAACATGCAGAGAAAAGTGCAACCGCAAAATTCTTCTGTGGCTATTATCTGTATCACGGAATGGATGGCGTTTGCAAAAATGAGGATAGAGCAATTGTATACCTTCGCGAAGCGGCTGATGCGGGAAAATCAGAAGCTCAAGTACTATATGCCAAGGTATGCCTTCACGGTAGCACCTATGATGGTGAAAACGGTATTAAATATCTAAAAAAGGCCGTTAAAAATAATGATCGATCAGCGTTAGAGATGTGGGCAGAAATATTGTATGATGGGCGGTTTGAACAAGACATGAATACTGATGAGGCATATAAAGTTTGGGAAAAAGCGGCGAGTATGGGAAGCACTAATGCGAAAAGAAAACTAAAAGAATTATTCCCGAATTTTGATTCATAGGTTTAGGATTTCAGATCTAGGTGTCACAATAACTTTATTTTTTATAAAATTTTACCAACGGTCCAATACTGTATTTAAATATTTTTCTTATTCTATGGAAATTTGAAAAGAATTATTATCCAAATAGATACGCTCTTCACAGAAAGTAATCATCAATGACTGCTTATAATTGTGATGAAATAAACTGCACTGTGTATTGAATTTTAAGTCAATAAATAATATATCAAAATTTTGTTAATTTGAAAATTTTAACATCAAATCAATACTCTTGACTTGAATTTTAAGGGAGAATATTTGACTTGGAAGTTTATTTATTGTTGTTTCCTAACTACGTACGATATTGATCGCAATTCCTTTAGCGAACTAAATACAATCTAAAATTACAGAAATTTTTTATATGATAAAAACACATGTTATAACGATAATAAAAACTTATTGGTTTTTTAATAATTATTTTTCATAATATGTTGTATCGGTCAAAAGTTTAATTTTTATACTTTAGTAATAATTTTTTTGTCAAGTTGTAAAAATTTTAAATGGTTTTTTATAATTTTCGAAATTCACTAATTCAATGTTTTTTTCGAAAATAATTATATATACTACAGTATATTATTTAAGTAAGAACATTATCTCTTTTAAATTTATAATTATATAAAACACATATTATAAATACACTAGAAAACAAAAATTGTTTGAGTACGAAGCATCATTTTAAAATAAAATTTGATCTTTTAAATTATCGAATATATTTTATATACTATATACTGTGTGTTCATTGTTTTTTTAAACTTACTGTTTTAATTAAAATTTTTTATAGTTTATTTTTATTTAATATTTTTATCAATATGCATAATTAAACCATGTGCAATAATTCCAATTAACTATATGCAGTGATAAAAATATTAAAATTTAAAATACATTATTATTCATTTATTGTTATTATAAATCTATTATTGATTATGTATTTAAAAAAATATTTAAATTTGACATTAAAAAAAATAAATATACAGTATATATCAAAAATAATTGGATTAATATTTTTATATTAATTTAATGAAGATAAAATTTTAAATATACAGTATATTTTGTATAATCTATTTAATTAAATATTAAAGTCTTATTAATGTTTAATTAATAATTATTTGAAAATATTAATTTAAAGTCAAAAAAATTTTTTTTGAAAAAACATAAATTATACAGTATATATAATATATATTTATATATATAATATAGATGAAAATTAAAAATTTTTCATAAAATTTTTTTTTGAAAATTAAACATAAAACTAAATAAAATTTTTGGATTTATAAAAAAATTATAAGAATTATTATTATATTTAACAAATGTTATTAAAATTAGTTTATTTTTTTTTTATTATATAAAATTAATTTTAAAAAATTTTAAAACTATTAAAAACTTTATATTTAATATAAAATTTATGTTTTCTTAATAAAATTTAACTAAATTTTAAGTTAAATTAATTCTTAAATAATTTTTCATACTTAATAAAAAATAATAATTATTACATTATTATTATTACTTTTATATAACAAATTTATACATTGGAATAATTTTAATAAATTTTATTATTTTTATTTTATAATATAACTAAAATTAGTTATATCTAAAAATTTTTTCAAATTAAATTTTAAAATAAATATATTATATTTTAAAAACTTATTAAGTATACTTGTTTTTTATATTTTAAATATATTAATATAAAATTTTATTTTATTTTAATCAATTAATTAATATTATAATTCTGAAAATTAAACTTTTTAATATAAACTTATATAAAATTTAAAACACCATTAAAAATTATTATAAGATATAATTCTTATATTAAATTTAATATAAATTTAAAAATCAAAATCAAATTATTACAATATTACAAAAATAAAATTGATATATTGTTTAATTATTTTTAATATACAATATATAACATATATAATTAACTCAAATAATAAATAAACTATGACATTAATAATAATTATTATTATTATAACAAAAAATTTTAAATTTTTAAAATAATCCTATTTTTATTACATTTTTATTATTATTATTATTATTTTTTTTTTTTTAAACTAGCTTAACCTTGCTTAGCAAACTTTATTAAAGTCAATATTTACATATATTCGTACACAT